GAGGTACAGGAGGCGCGGGAGAGGTACAGGAGGCGCGGGAGAGGTACAGGAGGCGCGGGAGAGGTACAGGAGGCGCGGGAGAGGTACAGGAGACAGGGGACCTGTTGAAACATCCATATTCCGGGTTGAGAGCGAGGAATGCGCCGCCGAGTGACCGATATATGCAGACATTGTTGACACTTGTGTTGGTGGTGACGGGGAGCAGTGTTGGTGGTGGCGGGGAGGTGTGGTGGAGAGGAGCCAAGGTCGTGCAGGTCAACCTGACCTCAATAATGAGGTGTGCAAGTGACATTCAAACAGCCGTGTGAAGGACCCTCCTTCACCTACCCTCTGGCCGGGCTGGGGACCAGACCTGCGTGAGAGGGCGGAGGGAAGGGGAAGGTGGGGGTGTTGGGGGAGGTGGGGGATGTTGCTTTTATGGGGAGGGGGGGAGGGCTGGAGAAGGATAGTGGGTGTGGGGCTCGTGTCCCGGGATAGTGGAGAAGAATGTTCGCACACGCACGGGTGGTACGCGAACAAGGGGACACAGGTGGAATCTGAGTACCCAAATGAGAAACAGTGTAACATACAATTCATGGCAAAGGCCAAACTTTAATATGGTGATCAACCTACACACAAGAGAAGGGTCACTCTGAGAATGATATGGAAGTAGGCGGAGAATTTAACAATATCCTCCAGGAAATCCATAAGCTGGCACATGATCTGCTACTGGAGGTAAAGGCAACAATTGAATGTACACTCCCACAGGAAACATTATGAAACAGTAGTGACTCCTGAAGAAGTAAGGAAACGATTACAAAAACCAGGCGTAACAAAGGCTCTAGGACCAGTCGGTATCATTTAGTTGCAGGCGATGAGTCACAGTGACGTGACTAAAGTAAGTTGACCAGACCACACACTAGAAGGTGAAGGGACGACGACGTTTCGGTCCGTCCTGGACCATTCTCAAGTCGATTGTGAATGGTCCAGGACGTCATTTAGTTCCTCTCTAGTCAGAAGAGAGCTTCCAGACTGAGATTCTCCGTTTACAAAAATAGGACGAGACAAAACCCGCTAGACTGGTTAATGACACTGGTGTGTACCAGCATCACCATCTCCTGCAAGTCACTAGAGCCTAATACGAATCAGGCTTGTATAACACTTAGAACAGTTCGGTTTTCTCGACTGTCAGAAAGCATTTGATACGGTTTTACACAAGACTCCTTCGTAAGCCAAAGAAGCAAGCTGGTGTATCGGAAAAAAAAGTCCTATGGTATGTAAGAGTGTTTCTCTCAAGAAGGAAGGAAGCAAAGGGTTACAGAAAGAGTGGAGTACCACAAGAGTCGGTGTTGGGACTTATCCTGTTTCTCATAAAGGACAACGTCTTGGCAGAAGAAATTGGCTCCTTCATGTTGTTTACAGACAGTGCAAAACTAATGAGAATAATCCGGACAAAGAGGCACTGTGATACTCTGCAAACAGATTTGAACACACGTTAGAAAATTGTTAGAATTTTATCAGACAAATGCAAATTGATGATAGTATAGTATAAAAGGGAGACAGCTTCTTGCTTCAAAAATGGAGGAAAACCTGGAAGCAGACTTGACCTTAAATCTAATGGCAGAAGCACATATTAGTAAAATAAGGGAGTAGGATGTGTAGGATTAATACAAGGAACAGCTGAGAGAGAAAGACAAGAAGGGAGGGGAGAATCAGGAATATAGCTGAGGCCAGTAAGATTACAGCAAGATGGGGAGGCTGGAGACAGTGGGGGAGGGGTAATGGACTCTGAGGCAGGGAACATCCCTGGAGAGAGACTTTACCCCGAGGATTGTATTTATCTATATAGTTAAGTGGGACTAAGAAGAAGCCAAGGATTAAGGAAATCTAAACTACACAACTCCCTTCAGGGTTTCAGAAAAAGAATAATCAAGCAGTGAAAGTTATCTGAAGACGAGTAATCCAGTGAAATATGTACATTCAGAAAAGAGAAATTTTATGGAAGCGATGGAAATATAATGAAATATACATTAGCCAGAATGTCTTCAGGAAGATAGGGAGAAATATAGTAAACTCAAGGAAGACAAAATTTAAGAAATACAAAGGGAACAGGAAATAGGAGAAGAACCAGCGCACCACGACGTGAGGCTGCCAGGTGCCCATTCAGAGGAGCAGCCACAAGTCACTAGATCAACATACATCTCTTCCCTTACTGGGACTCGACACCTGAAGCAGGAGGGAAGCTGAAAGGCAGTTTGTAAACGACATAGAAGCAAAAGCTAGGGATCAACCATGCGGCTGTATAGCCATATGTGAAGACAAACACAATTATAGTAAACAACAAGGAGATGGAGGAGGAATTGAACAATACATTTCAGGGGGTCTTTACGGAAGAACCAATGTTATTTGTGGCTGTTGTGGCTGGAGTTTTGCTGTGACGAGAGCTGGAGGAGGTGGGAGTGCTGGCCACCGGGCGACACCTGTCACTACTCATACATATTCCTTTCTTACTCCATATACCTTTCCTTGTGTTATCCTGTCTGTGTCTCACCCCTCCCTCTTGTCCTTCCTCCTCGTCCCTCGCTTCTCTGGTCCCTCGCCCCATTCCTCAACCTCGTGTGTTGGCCTGCCTTCCACAGGCGTCACTCTGGTGGCCTCAGACACGCCCACTCAAGGTGCTAGCGCCGGGAGCCTCGTCATCGATGACCTTCATGAGATGAACCTGAACACTAGAACAGCCGCTGAACACGTCTTCCCTCACTACTCCACTATCACAAAAAAGTGCAATAATAAAAATAATAAAAGCAGTTTGTGGGTTGTCCCCGTGGGAGAGTGGGCGCTGCAGCTGCTCCACACTTGTCACCCGGGAGGTGTTTTGCATTGCAGATGTCTTATGAAATTGCGGTGATTTTGAATTTAGCCTTGAGGGTAGAGGTGGGGGTGACAGGGGTGGGGGGGTGTAAGGGCGGGATGGGGGAGAGACAGGTGAGGGAGACACAGGTGAGGGAGACAGAGGTGGGGGAGAGGTAAGGGAAAGGTGGATATTGTAGAGGAGAGAGTCAGAAGCAGCTATTTTACACTCGGAAGTGGGACGCAAGTTAAGCTTCCGCTGCCACTAATACTCTCTCCCCCCCGAGGCTCGCTTCAAAGAATGTTGCCTGCGAGTTAGAGTGGGTGGGGGTGTCTTGTCAGGGATCAGACAAAATTATCCTTAAATGTGTTGGCGGACGGGGCGCTGGGATTAGACACCCTTTTGTGGTCGGAGGTTGAGTGTCAGCCCGTCAACTACGGTTTGTGGTCGTTTGTGATTGGTTGCGGACTCTACCTAAGTCTGTAGCCTAGTTTCTGGAGCTTGTCACAATCAGGGGGATGAGTACTGGTTGTTTACGTGGGTTTACAGTTACCAGGGGATGAGTACAGGTTTCCATGGGTTTACTATGACCAGGGTATGAGTAAATGTTTACGTAGATTTACTGTGATCGGGGGATGAGTACTAGATGTATACATACATTGACCGTGACCAACGGATGAATACAGGGTTGACTGAGGTGGTGACGGGTTGTGGAGGCGGGGCCGCGAAACCATGTAGGAAGAGCGACCCGTCCGCAGCGCCACGCACAGGTTAGCATCCAATATACCCCAAACACACCCGCTGGCCACAAGGCGCGCGGCGGCTCCTGTCTGTGTTTGCCAGAGTTGAACTTCGGCTCTTTGGTCTTGCCTCTCGACTCTTAATTAACTGGCGTACAGGTTTCTAAGCCTATTGGGCTCAGGAATCCTATCTACATTCGAAACAATGTATAAAGCCTGCCTCTGCCACTTCACTTCCTATGCATTCATTCAATTTAACAATGAAAAAAATATGATGACTTCATGGCTCATTTGGGTACTCGGTTTCAGCCTATGTCCCCCTGTGCCTCAGACCAAGTCCATGCCATCCAGCGGTCGACCTCAAAGACGCATTCATAAATTTTAACATGCAGTTCATTCAAAATAGGAATTTTCTCATATGTATTATTATTGTTATATATTGGCATACTGCATATTTAGGCATTGGTTAGGTGTTTAGGTTCTGTTGGCAATTATTTGTAGTATGTGGGTGAAGCATTTACAGCGTTGTGGTTCGAACAAAATTCGTCAGTGAAGCACTTGTTCTGGAAGTCGAAATCAGTTGAGTCTTGTGTAAACCGTTTTTCATTCATGAACAGGGGGTTCGGCGGGTGCATGGAATCACTTTTGGGTTTTGTTTGGAAGACGGGTTGGATGGCCCTGTCTCGTTTTCTCGGGTCTCGTGGACCAGTGGTACGTCTCACAAATCAACCCATCCTCCGAATTGACAGTACAGTTTAATACTGTGTAATAAGTACATTTCATTACTATCATACATAGTACATAATTGCACTTATTGGGCTGTTACATTTACCTCCCAATTTATTCTTCTTGTTTTCTGTTAAGACACTCAGGATTTTAGGATGAAGTTTTCAAGTTCAATTTGCTATACACAAGTCAGACATGTTGTACGAAAATCCTGCGTGTAAAGATTAAACACCTTCTACCTCATACAGGGATGCATTGATATTCGTTTTCAATAGAAGTTTCAACAGTTTTCAAAAGATAAAGTAGATTAGACCTGAGACACTTTGATATATTTTATTTGTAGGTTAAATAATGCTATTGCTGGTAGTGTGCCATTTTAATTCCTTAACATCAATAAATCATAATAACTTATATTATTTTCTTTTCAAAATATTTGATAAATCGTGATTCTTAATTTAAAACACTATATTCTAAGTTTAAAACGAAAAGATATCATAAATTATTAACTAACAATAAATAAAATGCTGGATAAAATGTGTAATTATATGCAAATTTGTACCTAATTGATTAAATAATAAGCTGGTTAAATTGTACTGTGGAATCCACTGCCAACTTAATTTATGGATATGCTTGAAATCGTTGTTAATTTATGTATTGTATGTATGTATTCATGAAGCTCACTTAGTGTATTTTGTGTTGGGCAGATTGCAGCTACACGTGCCACGAGCAATGCCAGGACCTGGTGACCTTGGACTGCAAGGCAGAGCTGACCCCAGACTCTCAGACCAACCAAGATGACATCTGTATAGAGAATACTGAGGACCCAGACCTCCATGTTTCTGACACTCAAGGAGAAGAGGAGGACGAGGAGGAAGAGGAAGAGGTGGAGGTGGATGAAGACATGGAGGAAGAGTTAGAAGATTGCCAAGAAGAACAAGAAGAAAAACATGAAGAGGAACAACAAGAAAAGGAAATGAAGGATGAGCTATTTAAGAAATGTGAGGTATGTGACCAATATATGTGTTGTCAGAAGTGTGAGGTACTGGCCAATATATATATATATGTTGTCAGATGAGTGTGAGGTTGGGGGTATGTGTGCGTGTGTACTCGCCTAATTGTACTTATGAGGGTTAACATGCAGCTCTTTGGTCCCGCCTCTCGACCGTCAATCAACCTGTGTACAGGTTCCTGAGCTTGTTGGGCTCTGTCATATCTACATTTGAAACTGTGTATGGAGTCAGCCTCCACCATATCACTGCATAATGTATTCCATTTGTTAACTACTCTGACACTGAAAAAGTTCACTCTAATATCTCTGTGGCTCATTTGGGTACTCGGCTTCCACCTGTGTCCCCATGTGCGAGTACCACCCATGTTAAATAATCCGTCCTTGTCTACCCTGTCAATTCCCCTGAGGTAGAGGAATGAGATAGAGATAATGAATGAAGTCATTAATAATGAATTTACAAATGAGCTGTCATATTTTAGAACACCTATTTTGTAGATCTTTTATTTAAAAATAAAGTGCTACAAGCTTCTTTGCTTTGTAATCTTCATACATCTGTTGTTTCTTCCATATTAACGTTTTTAAGTCAGTATTACAGTATAAAGTCATTTCAAATTATTCATGCTTTTCTCATATTTTATTCTAATACAGAAAACCTGTTGAAATATTAGTATTTCACATCCATGCAAATTTTGTCCATATTCTATGCCAAGGTTTTTGTAATACACTTTTCATAAATGTAATATATTTGGTTTGTGTTTCCAGGAAGTCTCCACATTGAGGAAGACGGTTAACAGGTTACAAAGTCACTTGGTAGATAATGAAACACTGGAAGCGTGGGTGGAGAGATACAATGCCACAGCTCAGGGGTTGCAGATAGCAAAGGTAAGAAACTGTCATGACACAATGTTTTTCTAGAATATAATATAGAATGAGCGTTATGTGCAGAAAAACTGGACTAATGTAGTGATTATTACTACACATAAAGGGAAAGGTGTTGAGTGAAATAGGGAAATGAATTTGCTAAACATATATATATGAGAAATAATGATTATGATAAGAGTAACCAGGAATTAAAAATATATTGTAAAATGAATAGAGAGGAAATAAGTTCCTTTAATTAGTGAAAAATGATGCATGGATCACATTTTTAAATTGATGATAAAGTACTTGACATTTTTTGTAAAAATAGAAAGAAGAAAAGTTGAGAGTTCACAAAAATGGCCTATGGAATGTAGGGTGGAATGCTTAATTTCACATTTTTCTTAAAATATTTGTTACACCAGGTATTGCAAGCAGACTTTTTTTTTTTTTTTTTTTAATTGAGCCAGAGTACAGCTACATTTCTTGGCTAGTGTGTGAATAACATAGCTCCATGAAGTAAACCTTGAGTAATTAAATACAGATTTTAAATTAAGAAAGTAATGTGTATGAAGAGTCAAATTTGAAGTGTTTATGAACAAGAAAGTGGAGAAATTTACCTTATTCTTATAAAGACAGATACAGTAATCTGATCAGTGCTGTGTCAGTGCTCCTGTATCACACTGCTTATCACTGCTCGCCAGTAACACCACTTCCAACTCCAACCACTCCACTACTGTACCAGATTAAAAGAAACTACATTCTTTTGGATAGCATTGTTTATATTTTATTACCATACAGTATTTGTTGTTTACCTATGGCTAACTTAAAATTTTTACTAAAGAAGTCACGCTGGAAGTAAAGCTTTTCTGGTAATAACTTAATTGTTAAGGCTGTTGCTGACACTGGCCTGCAATCCCATTGGGGTTACATTACAGTTCTATTGTAGTAGCAGGGTGGACAGTGCAGTCAGCTTGCAATTGACAGGTACCAAGTTCGATTCCTGCTGTAGGACGTAGACATTTGGGAACGATTTTTTTCTTCAAATTCCTTCATTCATCTAGCAGTAAATAGGTACCTGGAGTGACTCAACTAGAGTTGGATACAATCTGGGAAGGTCAGTCACTGGCCTAACAGGCTTCATGTCCACTGACAATGTGTGGATACATCTATGACAACCCAGCTCATCCAGGACTTTCCTGAGGAAAGTCTACTTTTCTCTTGAAAATTTAAACTTTTGTTTTAGCAATAGTTCTTATATATGCTAAGAGAAGCTGAGAACTGCTGCTGATCTTCTAATCATGCTGATGGCACTTTTACTCAATACTATGCCTATTCTATTGTTTCTACCATATTTTTTGCTCCAGTAACTTGTTTTATTGTGTAGATGACCAAGTCATAGTATATAGTCATAATATACTGGATCATTAAATATGATTACTTTTTGCTCTATAACATGAGCCATACTTACTAGCCATGCTCTCACTATAATATGTAAACACAGTGTACTAGATAACAGTACTTGTTTTTACAGCACAGGAAACCCATATCCTGTGGTGTGTGATACGGTATCTTGAAACCTGTTGTGAGGCCTCACTCAGGTGCCGCAGTCAAACAGGCACAAGACTCGCTCTTGTCGGCTGCAAATTCTTTTTCATTGTGACCATTTTTACGAGGGGCCTGAGGATAAGGATTGAAACACCGTTTACTTGAGATCATTGTACGTGCTGAAAAATATCTTTGCCATAAAAGTATGATGGAACCACAGCAGTCATACACTGCTAAGATTGCCATGACTCTGCAGCCACCCGAGCCTATTGACTCTGATTATATTGTAGTAGGTAAAGTGAACACGGTAAGTACAAGAACCATCTAGTCACAGAATATTGCTCATTAAAAAAGTACACTATATAATTAATCTTTTATCAGTTTTATTAACATTGTTTAGTAATTGTGCCTCATAACCTTACACTGGAGCTAACTGAATCAAAGTGTATTTGCAGTATTCTTTGTTAACATACAAGACAGTATTCTGAATTTCTTATGAATCTATATTATTTAGGTATCACAATTTTAGTTTAGTCAAATAAATTTCCCTTAAAATTTAAACATAAGGTTTCATCAATAAGTCGGTTAAAAAAAAATATATCGTCTAATTTTCAGTATTAGCCTAATAGCTGTCAATGAGGCTGTGAACTCGCTATAAAATCTGTATATTTAAATAGATCCAAAACGTAATGTAAACAATATTTTATTTTAAATTTGTGTTAGCTTTAACATATCCAAAACAATGTTTAATCAGGGCCTTTAACCGCCGCACTGCGCATGTGCTTTTTTTTTTAATTGGGCTATATTTTAATGTTTTTATCACTGTTTTGAAATGAAAATGGTCGAGTTTGGAAACATTTTGACATTAACTTTACCTGAACATTTATAAAGACAACAAAAATATGTCCTTATCAATTGCACAATGAAGTTTCTACTGAAACCAAGTGCGCAGTGCAGTGGTTGAAAGCATACACTACACAACTAAACTATTATAAAATGTACTGACTCTAATTAAGAAGAAAATTTTTTGGTTATAACTAAATTTGGTATCAAAATGTTCACAAATGAATACTCTAGAAAATAGATGCAAAAAAAATTGTTTTCGTAGAATATATGTTAGTGCTAAATATTAAAATGTTTATGAACATTTCAACCTTTCTCGATTATTTTTCAACATAAGTATGATAAACTGTGATCAGTGCATTGTTTTCATTACAGATACTTTGGATTTTATCATCATGTAATGTAAACAGAACTGACAGTAAAAATGTGACAACTGCCAGTACATTTACAAAACACTAGATTTAACAACAAAATTATGCCTTGAGTCTGTAAAAAAGTCTGAAACCCCGTGTTTCAGCCTCACTTTGTGAGAGATGGTTTGAAGTAAAAATCCTGTACCGTAAAAATGTTAAAAAAAATAGATAAAGTACTGTATTAAAAAATAAGAGTATTTTAGTTTTATTTAACTTGCACAGTATAGCAATTACCAAATTCTATAGATGAAGCAGAAAATTTACATACACAGGGAAAGATCAACCAGTAAACATAATGGAACATGCAGCACACTATTTTATTGTGGTTGCCTGGATAACTACAGTATTGGTGTTGTCATGCAATGAAGTAATAAGTAATAGTAAGTAAATTCTCCGTTCTTTACCTTATAACCTCCATACATATTTTTTTTGTTTTCACAGGAAGATGATGGCAGTTTCCGGGGTTGTATCCGTGTTCATCTTAACCTTAGCCGTCCTATCAATATTGTGGCAGGAACAAGACCCCCTTCTATTTATGATATCCTACAGGAAGACAGAACAATGGAAAAAACATTAACATCATTCTATATGCCCCGAGATGCAGTGAAAGCTATTCACATCACAAGGTAAATATCAAGCTAGACTAAATGAAGCAGTTGATTTACTAAACTTCATTCTGCACATTAAAATTCTTTACAGGTATTTAAGTTTTATACTGTACTTGTATAGAAAGTGCTGTATAGAAATGGATTGATGTTTTTAAAAATTATAAGGTAGGAAATGTGTCAAAGAATTCCACAATATGACTATTAAGTGAAGCATTTGCCCTTTGTTTACAGTGCACAAGAATATGTGAAGAGCAAGGACTGTCTTGACACTAAAGTTCCTGCTCATCAGGACATTACCAAACATAAATGTTCCGAGCATTTCAGAAGTCCCACTCAGTGATGCCTAAACTGTGTATACTTTTACATTTTCTCAGATTTTGGGATATAACTTGAAATTTTGTGTGTCAAAATATCCCAAATGAATTTGCTAGTGTACAGATGAAATACAAAATGTTTTAATAATAGATTATAGGCGATGGTGTCGGATATACAAACGTTTATGAATATTTCAACATTCCTCTTATATTTCGTCACATAACCTCATTATACCGTGTACACAATTAGATAACAGATGGAAAGAAATAAGAAAATGCACAATTAAGGGTTTGAAACAGTTGTGGACTGAGGAAGAGAAATATGATGGGAGAAAGAAATGTGATGCAATATATGAACACAAGTCATGTCAGAAAAGGAGAAAAGAGGTCAAACCTGGCATCTTGTGGAATGATATACAATCTCGATGTTTCAGGTTGAGGATGACTTGTTCAAATATACTGTATAGTGCATACATGACTGAGAAAAGACAGGGTGGGCATCACTGTAGTGAGCATGGGAAGAACAATCTGACCTAGAGTGATCAGGGTCACCACACAAGAAATAAAAGGACACCTTGCTACTACATTTTGGGAGTTCCATACCCATATTTCTGGCATCTAATGCAGAGCCATGGTGAGGGGGATGTATTCCTGAATGGAGCATCTGGCACCAACAAGAATTACCCTTGCACCAAATTGCATCTTCAGTATACAGTACAGCCCATTATTTTTGAAGCTGTAAGATGGTAGAAAAATCAGGATGATAATAATACTTGTATTATATTTAAATATTGAATAGTTTAAAGTTGTGCACTATACTAGTACATACTGAGAATGTTTACTAACATATATATTTTTCAGCAATACAACTACAAGGGAGGTCATCATTGCATTACTAAGAAAGTTCAAAGTTGTTGACAACCCACAAAAGTTTGCTCTTTATGAGAGAACATATGATACAGCACAGTCTGTTAAAGGTAAATATTTATTAACATTTTTAATTTTGCACTACAGTATATTTTTAGTAATATGCAGGTGTTCAGTGTTCTATATACATTACCCCCATCTTTATTACACTAGATACACTGATGAAATAAATAGATAACTGTAATTATCATTATTCCACAGACTGTATTACAGTTGGTGGGTAAGTGTACCAGGTAAGACTAAACATGGGTACAGTAATAAGATTCATCTAATTACTAAACATTTGGGCTGTACATATTTGACAAGGTTTATGAAGAGGGACAGCTTATGAACATTTTTAGCATCCCATATACAGTATATAAAAACTACAATAGATTTACCTAAAAATAAAGTATTGCATAAATTAAATGCTCTTTTGTGAATACAGTACCACCTTGGTAGTTGCCCTAGCCCGATACGCCCAGACTTGAGGGCAGACACTATCCACCAGGCTTAGAGATACCAAAGTAGAGGAGACAAGCATCTACAGTATGACTTATTCCAGATAAGGACTGAAGTTGGGAGCTCAGTGGAGAGCATACCTCAATCCACCACAAATTAAATGCTCACTACATTACAAAGAAACCTTGAAAATTGCTCAAAACTCTCTCCACGCAAAACTTGGAGAATCACTTTGTCAAACTCAAACAAGCCTCCACCAACTACTCCAGCTGCCACAAGATAGCAGAGCTAGCATACACCAAAGCCAGGAAAGGAAGGCTAACTCATTTTATGCCTGGTATTTGTAGATACTTCATCCAAGCTGTCAGAAGGTTCTGCATACAGATCATAAAAACAACCACACACTGTATTTAAGACTATTGTCAGTTTTAAGCATAGGACGTCTCACCATGCCTTAAGAATTGTTTTATGTGCTTGGTACCCCACATTGCTTTTGTACTTTTAGTGATTCTTCTTTGAGGATTAGAATAAACCAGGTGGTTCATCTCCACTTATGCAGGCTAGCACATTGAAAATCCTGGTGTCTGTGTTCTATGGCACAGTCCAAATGTCCCAAACAGTGGGACACACACTCAAAAAGCTGTGAAAAACAAACAATTAAGTCTGCATGGCCCCACACAAAGAACCAAAGAACCAGGGCATGATAAAGGGCAATTAGAAAATCCTAGTGGATCAAGGTAACAATAGAAAGAAGGCGGAACATCCTGAAGACTTCACGAGAACACCCCATAAAATAATCCAGGAAACACACCCTAAGACAACTTAATCACCAACATATGTACTCTCACAACCCATTGTCCCTTCATGTATATATACAAATAAATAAAATAAATTTAAATAGGCTTCCATTATCCATTTTGTCTATTCCCCTCAAGATCTTGTACATATTTATCATATCCCCCTCTTTTCTAAGGTTGCAAGGGTGAGTTTAATACCAATCTGTCCTCATAGCTCAGGCCTTTCAATTCTGGTACTAATCTGGTTGCAAACCTCTGAACTTTCCACATTTTTGTTTATACTTCTCAAGGTATAGGTTCCATGCTGGAGCTGCATACTCGGGTAATGGTCTCGCATAGGTATATACAGGTCTCCTATCTCCCTTACTTTGCACTTATCGGTATTTGTATCAAATTCCAGCAGCCATTTACTGCCCACTCCTGAAGTTTGACAAGGTCTTCTTGCAGCACCCTTTAGTTCTTACTTTCCTCATTAACTTTGCATCCTCTGCAGACATCAACATGCACACACTCAGGCCCTCTACGTGGTGATTTACACACTTTAAAGAGCATTGGTCCAAGAACAGAGCCCTGTGGAACATTATTTTCTGCTCCTCTTCAGTCTGACGTATCCTCTCTGACTATGATCCTTTGTTTCCTGTCCATCAAGTGCTCCCATACCGGTACACAGTCCAGTACTTTTCCTGTTATCCTTGCTTGTATCTCTGTCTTGTGCATTAATCTTTCATGAGGAACTGTATCTAAAGCTTTTTTGGCAGTCTAGGAAGAAGCAGTCTACCCTTCCTTCTCTTGCCTTATTTTGGTGACACTGTCATAGAATTCAATTGGATTTGTTAAGCATGTATAGATAACAATGTAGTCATATCACTGACCTCCAAGTACAATAAAAGGCAAAGAAAATATGGCCTGGTACTGATTTGACGTGACAGATAGCTTCGAAAACTTTAATTTCTCCATTAACTTCTTCCTCACATAATGCAGAACTATATACTAAAATGTTTGTTTATGATACTTCAGTAGAGTTATTTTAGTATCTCATGATAGTCATTGTTTATATATGTAGTCATATTAATATTATAGTAATGCTTTAATAATAAAATACTACTATTTTTGTTAACAGCAAAGCTACGACGATTGGGCGACTTGGAATGCCCTCTAGTTTTGGCTTTAAATTGGAGTGCAGGTGGGCTCACCAACAAAAGGCTAGTTTTACAAGAAAATGATACTGCTGATATACAGGTAGGACATTCATGTGAAATACCAGGGTAATGCTTAACACTGCATGGACCGTTTCTATTAATATAGTCAATAAATATTGTTTTACTAAACACAGTCTTCAAGTTCAACAGGAGCAATCTAAGTTGCACAAATGTACCAAATGTTGAACTTTTAATATACACAATAGAGAATCAAATTTATTGCATGCTAAAAAAAATCTCCATGACGATTAAGTGTTGAATGTAATGAAATACATTTTTTGGAGAGCCGTCAGTAACTTCCCGAACTGGTCCTGCCAAGCCATTAGAATTTCACAAAACCTCTGAAACCCACCCTTGGCTACTAGGAACCAGGACAAGAATTTGACTCCCTCTATGAGGCTAAAAGATTGGCACAACAAACCAAATGACTGCTTGTAGAAAATTGGTAACCATGGAACAAACAAGGGCAAATGTTAAGTTCCATAGGGTAAATACCCTCCCAGTGATGTGCCCAGCCTGCACCAGATGGCAGCTAAGGTCACTCAGGGTCTCGACCAACATGTCGCCTAATTCATAAGCTGCCTGGAGCATATCTGAAGAGGGTTTTCGGGAGTTCTTCTACTACTACAGTACTTTAACTTGAGATAACTTGGTCTAAAAGGCTGTTGCTTGAAGCGGCCCACATATCCACTACAGCTTGGTTGGTCTGGCACTTCTTGCAAGAACCTGTCAAAGTGCCAATACTTGGACAACACCAAGTGTCCAAGGTATTATCTGGTACCTTTCTCGCCTCCTTTCCAACAAGTACATTTTGAGACCCTTGAGATGGTCCTAATAATTTAGATATTTTATTGTTTCTATGCGAGCCATATACATTCTCTGTATCCCTCTATTTCAGAGATCTCTCTTGCTCTGAAAGGGATGCGAGTACTGAGCAATACTCAAGACGGGACAGCACCATTGATTTAAAGAATGTTAGCATTGCTGTCGGGTCTCTGGTCCCCCACAGCATTGATGCCTTAACAGAATCCCCCACCACATGTTAGGGAAGTAGGAAACAGGGTAGGAATAGAGAGCTACTAAAAACCAACCAGAAAATGACATTTTATTACAATCATTGGTTGATATCTGGAAGACCCCGCTGGTAGCTACCATAGCCTACTCTCAATGACATCATGGCAGAAGAGACCAACTTTCTCAAAATGAACACCAAGAGCCCTGGGCAATACAAAGTACAGTATTTTGGTTCATAATCTGCTTAGTGTACAAATACTGTATACAAAGTTCATATAAAAGAGAGAATGCGCTAAAGGTTAACTGCCCCATGCATATTTTGTGCTTTTATTCATTCTGTCTGTCTTGTGTGTATAATAGTCACCATTTGTATGATTTTCGCATCATTTAGGTTACATGCTGTTAAGGTGTCTCCATCATACTTTAGATAATCATTCACAACATCCTAAACATTTTCCCAAAGATAAAAAATACAATCCATAAATTTTATCAACATAAAAGAGCATATTCTTTTCCTAAAAAAAAAAAATAAGATTTCCATTGCAGTGGCAGGGCAATATTCTAATTGATTTTTATTCTTCTTTTACAGTGGGAAGCTTTCAGCTTACCTGAACTAAGTAATTTTCTTCGTATCTTAGACAGAGAAGAGGAGGAATATCGATGTCAAATTCAAGACAAGTATTCTTTACTGCGTCGTCGAATTGGTAACATTTTGCTTCAAAACCAACAAGTTAAAGATTAAACATTTAAAATGTAACATTAATTTTGTGTGAAAATTAATAAGTTTCAGATAAAAATAATTTCATTATGCATAATCTTTTACATGAAAGTTTAATTATCTCTAAATTGTTTTAGCAAACATATTTTTTAAGTACTATTTTCATGACTTGGCCATATCACTCCACCTTTTCCTTTCTAGATCTCTTTAACATACAGTATTACATTTATTTAATTTTAAAAATGTGACAAGAGCTTCTAATCAGTTTTTCCCCACCTCATATAATACTCGAATATTGTTTTGATTTACGGGTCTAAAACTACAGATCAAACCCAACACGATTAACTCGTAACAAAGTGAATGTAGTGACTGTTCAATAAGTTAAGAAATATTAGAGGAAATAATTGATTCCCAAGAAGCAGTGTTTGGCTTACAGGTGAGACCATTTATGACAAACTATTCCATAAACTCTTGAGGGTAAGTCTGAAGTTTTTATCAGTAACTTTCATCTTGTTAATAAGCTGGACAGAATATTTTTTCCCTAACTTGAAAGCTTTTAGTAAGCATCATTTTTAATAAGATTTACTGTTATACTTAATGTGGGTGTGATGAAAACCCCCTAAGCAACCAGGGAAAAAAATATCTAACTTAACAATGTTTTAACACCATAGTGGCAGTAACCTCCCCATTGGATAACATTATGTACAAGATAATGTACAATTTTCAACTCGCTTCTTGTGATCTTCAAATTTTATACTAAAGTGATATACGAACGTCATGTACATTATTCTTAACTAACAATATATTGCATTGTAGGTACAGTATACCTGCTGTATAGGTACACTGTACTGCACTCTATAAATTAACATTTCACAGAGTCAGAAAATATAAAGTGATAGAAAGTTACAAATCTAGTTTATGAATAAAGGTACAGTATGTATTTAGCTCCTTGTACAACAAGGTAATACAAAAAAGCATGTAATGTAATGAGAAGTAATAATAAATACCTGTCGTTTTATGTCTGGGTTAGTGCGATAATAATGCATTTGTAGCAATAAGTACCAAAAACAGATTTTATTTAATACTATATATTGAGTGGGGAATACTTTTTATGTAGAGGTAAACAAATTACAACATTGTAACTATTTTGAAAGATATTATAAATGCTACAATACTTTTTAAATTGTAATAGATACTGACTTCCTCACATACAGCCCATCTTCCTGTTTTGATAGTACTTATAGTAACGATGAGGACTATAGTATGTATACCAACGAAATTAGAAAATAGAAATCTGAACTCTCGAGATGGACAAACTGGTAAACAATTTTTTTACTTTAGTTGCTTTGACAAACTAAACTAACCTAACCTTCCTAGACCTAATACATGATATCTGAGGCCTAATATAGTACATATGTGTGCTATACTAGGTCAAGGTATATTTTTTTTTTTTTTTTTAGCTTCATTTATTTAAAAAAGAATGCCTTACTAGTCAGTACACTACTATCTAAAAGCCAAAGTACATACGAATTTATGACTATTGACGATCATCACAATATGTATTATCTAAACAAGAGGATGAGTTGTCACATACAGCTTCATAAAGCTGTTTATACAGGGTCAGGAAAATATTAATATATACAGCTTCTCTAAACAAATATTAACTTACCTGAGTGTGTACCCTATACAGTATTCTCTGGTTACTGGGCATAATTAAGAGTAGTTCAGGTAAGGTTACATGGGTCTATGTAATCTCTAGATGTTAATACATAAAAAAGGTGTAATTTTAAACAAACATGAAGATTCTCCATCTTAACTAATTCAACAAGATTTCTCTCGTGGAGCTCCTTTTCCTTGAAAGGATGATCCGATGCAAACTCTACCTAACACCCAGTGTTAATTTGCCAAAGATATCAACAAGCTGAATTGGTTTTTAAGTAAAGCAGTCTATCACTTCCTTATACGAATAAATATAAATACTGGCACTGTAAATTAAAAAAATAAAGACAGCCTCAGTACAAAGAAGTGATGTACAAGTAATGAAAAAATATAGGAAATGTATCTACTGAATTTGAAAGAAATTTAAGAAAATGTTGCAGACCTGTATGCAGTTTGAAAAAATGTCGAGTATGATAAAATGCCTCATTCTGGGGGGCTTCCACAATGGCTCCCCACAGCTCATGCACTGGCACCCAAAGTCCAATAACATCTCACCACGAGTCTGTCTTTCGCATCACCTACTGGCAGCAGGGACCAAAATCCTGCTCCCACAGAAGCGGAGCTGATGGTGTCATGAACACCACACACTGAGGAAATCAAATTATACAATGCCGATTCTCTCTGTCCACTCTGCCACCAAAGTGAATTAGATCACCGATGCACATTTTCTTCCGACCTCCAGCATTTCAATAATAATCCTTTTTCAAATCATTTCCCTAACACTTATTTCTTTCTTTGTCAAATTGAGTTCCAAACTGGTTTCCTACATTTAACATCGATTTTTACAACATCTTTTCCAGTCACTGAATGCAACTGAAACTTTATTTTCCTTCATTGATTTGATGTTTATATTATTTTAGAGGGGACAGTCTAACACTGACAATGCACTGCACATGAGCAGAACTAGCCACTGCACTGGCGGACATTTCAAATGTCTTTCCCTTGCAAACCAACACGGTTTCAATTGTTCACTGCCAGTTATCAACACTATTATACATTCCTTCCAAAAAGGACCCCTTCCTTTTTTGGAAGGGGTAATGCAGCACATTACCCTGTGCAGCATTATTTGTGCACCAATTGTGCCATTCAGGTTGAGGCATTTGTTAAACCTTTCATATTCTTTATTCCAGAGCCCTGCTCCAACAGGTCATCTGAAAGGTGGTTCAGATCAGCTACCCAGCTGTTTATCTTGGCTCTCATAATGTGCATAAGTTTGCTGCTTTAACTGCTTTCTTTGCCATTTGACAGTCCAAGGTGTTGGTGTCTTCTTTGGATGTACCATCTTGAGGTTATCTCGAGATGATTTCGGGGCTTTTTTAGTGTTCCCGCGGCCCGGTCCTCAACCAGGCCTCCACCCCCAGGAAGCAACCCGTGACAGCTGACTAACACCCAGGTATCTATTTTACTGCTAGGTAACAGGGGCATAGGATGAAAGAAACTCTGCCCATTGTTTCTCGCCGGCGCCTGGGATCGAACCCAGGACCACAGGATCACAAGTCCAGCGTGCTGTCCTCTCGGCCGACCGGCTCCCTATAGCCTATATCTCCAGCCATCTTCTCCCACAGATAAGCCATTCTTGCCTTTTCTGTTTGTTTTTAACCTTTGTTTCCTTCCAGAAAAGGTGTTGGGAGTGAGCTCTGGAAAATATTAATGAGCCCCCAGCATCATTAATTAAATTAAATGAATTGACCATTTCTGATGAGTCTCATAGCTCATTGTTCTCTTTTTTCCTGTGGGGGTTTTGGGTTCTGTTCTGATGGCTCAGTGAGATGGGTGGGTGGGTGGCTGGAACCTCAGGTGACCCAAGCTGTTAACTGGTGGTGGTTGTGTGCATCACAGTAATTTGCCCTTATCATTGAACTTTTGTTTTCATTGTCTCCGGGTTCGCACACATTACTACAAGCAGTAGATTTTGTTGTGCCTATCCTTTCCAATGGGATTTTTCTTGGTTTTGGGTTAATCCCAAGGCTCCATTTGTCTAGGACCAAGCCAGATTTTGGTCCTGACTCCCTGCAGGCTAAGGTGGGTCTCGGAGGCCTGGTCCAATTTCCTAAGGCTTGACAATACCAGTTTAAGCTCGGGAAGCTACTGAGAGCCCTTCCAGAAATAATGTTGCAGCCAAAAGCAGTTACCATGTCATTGTAAAAATGTGAAAAAAAGATTTAAATTCTAAAACTTTCCCAAGGGGCAGAGACAGAGACTCGTGCAGCTTTAGCTAAACACATTAGTGAGTATTAAGCTAAACAAATAAATTAGATGTATAAATGCATCATTAATGCTATACTTGTCTTAGGCAAGAAGGTTACTTATGTTTTAAAACATTACTATGTGAACCATTTTCATATAAGGCAAATCAACCATTCACTATATTTTTAGACATGTAAATAAATTACTGGTAAATCAGAACAACCTCATTGTTTTTTACCAGTTATCAAATGAAATTTTATTAAACATTCAATAAAATTTACATGATTTCACATCCATTTCTGTTGTGTAAATTATTATATTAATTAGAATTGAGGTATTTTTATGCATGTGATTGAAAAGGCATTTTAATGGCTTTAACCAAATTTGAAGAACACACCTATACTACCTCTTGTTAATCAACAAGTTAGCATGAATTCAATGCATTTTATGTATATTGTCAAAATTTTCTTTTAGGATGCAGACAGGCAAAAGAAAAGTTGTTAAAAATGTTTATGCATAATCAGTCTGTCCTTTTCTTACCGTTTATCTGTCTGTCTTTTCACACGCACATCAATCACCCACTAAAGGTATTAATCAATTCTGTCTTCAGTATTGTTAGGATATCTCATACATATTTCTGTAATAGTCCTTATTTTAAAAGTAGCCAAAGCAATATTTGTTTACCTCAATTAATACTTAAAGTTTATGGGGAAAGAGGGAGAGGATAAATTACTCTGCTTATACAGTATGTTATTTTAATAACTTTTATGTACCATCTTTGGTTAACATCTGGTTGACTTAAGTGGTCTAGCTTTGTTTTTGGCATTTGTTAGTGTTTTCTCAAAATTCATTTGTTTTCTAATAAGCATACGACTACTGTTATTAAACCAAAGAATATATATGATGTTAACCTTCATAGTGTGTTAACTCTTTCTACTTTTTATGGTTAGTGTTATTTATTACTGTACTAAAAATTTAAATATATTACAGTAATTTACAAATACCAGACTTTATCCATGTCTCTTTATTTGGACTTTTAAACTTGTTACCTATTCTTGTTACGAGCTCCACGTCCTGGAGACGACCAACTCTGAGAAATGCTATAATGTAAATTGGCTATTACTTTTTATTAAACCTAAACAATTAATTAATTTTGTGCTTCATATATCATTCATTACTTTTAATCAATAATACTTAATTGTTACCCAATTTATTTTATTTACTTATTTAATAATATCCTAAGTGTATTTCCAGTAAATAAGACTTTCAACTTGAAGTACAGTATTACAGAGTACTTAATAGAGTGAATCACTGTTGGTAACGACAACTAATGATGTCTTGCTGTGAAAACCTAGATGATAAGTCTCTAGCAATTATCCTACATCATGTCTACTCCCCACACACAGTGGCACAACTCTTGCAGAATACATACATACATACATACATACATACATACACACATACATACATACATACACACATACACACATACATACATACACACATACACACATACACACACACACACACACACACACACACACACACACACACACACACACACACACACACACACACACACACGCACGTACGTACGTACACGTGTGTGTATTTCCATTTTGGCTACATCCAATTACAAATTGTGTTCAAAAATAGACTACAGAGGCACCATGTAAAATGTTGGCTGAAAGATTCAACAGATTTAATTATCTAAACCTGTACTCCCATAAAGCTGTGAATCTAACTTAAACTAAGCTCTGTAGAACAACAATTTAATTTGCTCATTATTCACACAATCACAACATTATCTTAAAAAATCAATTTATATCATAACTGTTGATTTTGTTTATTACCTCATTAACACAGCTTATCCAACTTAATATATGTACAATTTTCCTGAAGACTATGATGAAGAAATTGTATAATCTGTGAGTTATAAGAGGCTAGTTTATATAGATGTTAGGGGCAAAGAATAGTGTTAAAACAGTAAGTTGTATTTAAAATTGTGTATACTACACTATGCAAACTAAATTTTCTAAAGCTGGATTGCTATTTAAATATGTTTATTGCAAAATGTATTTGAAATCACAAGTAGACTGCCAAGTTGCAATAATTGAGCTACCCTCTCAATAGTAATGAAAGATAGTATTCATGCTTCTCTTAATATTAATAAGAATTACAAAACCAAACCAATTGCTTTGTGCCTACTAATTAAATATTTAGCCAACCTTACTTTTTCTCGATTTACATTTCTGCTTGATACGTACTTGTGGAGAATTCTGCACGAACCGGCTTGATACATAATGCTAAGTTTTGTATTGGATATTTTCAAAACAATAATCCAGTGGGTAATAAAAAATGTTTTGTGTTCAGATAGATCCCAGTTCTGTTCAAAGCATCCAACAAAGTCCTTAAGCATGTACAGTATACTAGTATGGTATCTATGCAGAGATGTAGGTCAGCGAATAGTTGATAATGCTATTCTATTTCTTGAAGCCAAGAGTAATCATTGGCAAACATCTGATTAGTCAATTACAAATACAAGTTTGTATAGCACATATAATGGCCAGACTTTCACATTACCTCAGTGGCAGATTAGCACTCCACTATGATTACAGACACTAATTGATAAAAAAAAATTATATTTGCTGCCATATGTTCATGGAATTCTGTTGATAGTTACTACAGTATTTGAGACTCTGCATGTACATTTATCTAAAATATGGCAAAATTATTACCCAATTAGAAAATTGGTTCAAGAAACTGTCATTGCCTTTTTCTACATACAGTATGTGAAAAACATGAACATCTTCCACAACTATGAGCTCATGCAATTTAATTGTTGTGATCAAATTTCAATGTAACTATTAACTGAAAAGCTTTACACTAGAATACGATGACCACTTGCTGGTCTACTTGAGACAGCAACGGGAGCCAAGCCAGTTACAAATCCAACCTTCAAAATATAAATACTGCATACCTCAGTTTTTTGAGACAAAGATAATTAAATATTTAGACTAGAATAAGTTGTACCATATGTGTTTGTATGTTCCTAATTTAAACAATGTAATACAGTATGGTAAAACAAGTCGGATTATTACACGTTTGTGCTTCAATTTGTTGTGTGATTATATTATTAACTAAGCTCAAAGTGAAATTAATTCTTGTTATCCAGTGAGCATATTTGCACAAGCAAAAACAAACAAAGTTACAATATTGTACTGTACAAGTTTTTTTTTTTTTTGTTTGTCTTATGAAATTTAGTGAACTAGTCATAGACCAGAAATGCATTGCAGAATTGTACAATGCTTGAAATCAGAATCTTCAGTATGTATATTTTGCTCAAGTGTATTATAGTTGACAAAGGAGCAGAATAAATAAAATGTTTTTATACTATAATTGTATTTTATCACCATCCTAATACTGAACAACGTCTACAATATAACAAGCTTATATTTAATGCAACATGATACAAAATGTAATCCTCAGTGTATATACAGTGATAAAAACAAGTCTACAAACATGTATAAGATTTGATCATACAACACTATTATATGTACACAAGTTGCAAGTTCACTCACATGCTCCTCTTTCCAAATTGTTGTCTTTCTCTATACTTCTTCATAAATGTCAGATGTGATTTGTTCTTTATCCCATATTCAATTAATTTGGTGTTATCATCAGAGAGTTTCTCCCCATTGTAAGAGAGCCAATATGTCTTCCAGACGTGTCGCCAGCTGATCTTCTTTTTCACTCCTTTTCGACTCTATGGGCAAGGAAATATACAGTTTGCATACTATTTTTTAACAACCTATATTTAAAATTCTTTGAATTGTTCTAAAATTCATTCATTTCACAAATATATACAAGGTGTCCTAGAATTATCTATCTATTTCTATGAAACCAGACAATTTTTGTTGTTACTCATGTTTATCATGTTTAATGTGCATTATAAAATGTAAAAATTTCTAAATTATATTAATTGTATTAATCTACACAAATGTCGTACAGTATCTGGTCTGACAAAAACTGTCTGAATTCATAGAATGGCAAAGAGACTCTTCAAAAGTTAACATGTAGCTTGGGAAAGACTAAATCCCAATGATATACTAAACATAATAGATACCCTTAAAAAGATTCATGTGCTATATAGATGCTTATCTTAAGATACTAATAAGGTTAGGTAAGGTCGGTGTAATGGCTATGGTGACTTTCGAGAAAGGTTGGCTATATAGTCGTAATGGGGGGGGGGGGGGGGCAGAAATAGTTTAAGCTACTATATCCGTTTAAGATGTACTTTTTTGTCTCAATAAACATACTTGAACTAAGTCCAAAATTTATGGCCCATTCTTTCATGGTATTGGGTACCATCTACCTTGACATGCTTCAGCAGTTTCTCAAATTACAACTCCTTGATGATGGCATTCTTGATAATGTGTGTTTCAACAAAATGGAGCACCATGCCATTATGCACCAAGTGTCTGAGAATACCTCAACAGACGCTTTCCCAATTGGTGGATTGGACGTGAAGGACCTCGATCTTGGCCTGCGGGCCGCTCCAAGCAACAGCCTAGTGGACCAAACTCTCACAAGTCAAGCCTGGCCTTGAGTCGGGCTTGGGAAGTAGAAGAACTCCCATAACCCCATCAACCAGGCCTCCAGATTTGACACCTCTGGATTTCTTTGCATACATGTTCATAAAAAGTTTTATTCTCAAGATGGGGGATGGTTACTGGAGGCCTGAGGAAGCAGCAAATATAAGCTCTGTATATGCATTGGAATTTTTAACCTTATGATATACCTACAAGCGCCTTCAGTGCAGTGCAGTGGTTAAGGATGTTCAGATGAAATTATAAAGCCTTCTGTGTAAACATGGGAGACAACATTATGGGATTCGGAATGGTAAAAGGTTTAATATATTGACAGGATAGTGTACTAGCATGTGACCCAGGTGAAAGTGACTAAAGATCACGCTTCACTTACCAAAACAAGGGCCACGTGGTGTTTCAGAGCTTGCTTGAGCTCATACACGGATGCTTCACGAGGAATAACCACACTCCAAAATCCTTCATCAGCTTTTTCAATGTAGATTTTCATTGCTCTTCCGTGTTCTAACTCGATTAATGCATTTACCTACAAAACAAAGTACTGTAATTGTATTACACCATATTCAATATACATTAAACAATCTCAAGTCCAACTGGAAATATAATATTTTTGCCTAATCACATTCTTTTAATCTACAGACAATTTATCGGTTTTCTTAAAATTTATTTTCATCCCACAATACTTAAAATACTGCCATGCAAAGAGGGGAGGGAGGAGGTGTTTAAAGCACTAATTTATAATTATCATGCCACTTAATGGTATGATAATCTCTTAATTCTGACTAATTTATTTTGTGCTTTATGTTGAGCTTATTATTTGCTCCATTGATATTGATTTTATCCTTATTCAATGCAGGCATCATCATGTATAACCAAGCATGATTTTAAATTATCTACTTCTAAATGAAGTGAAATGACATTTACTTGAAAACAAACTGCACACTGTCAACCCTTCTCCCATTTCGGTACTCAATTTGTGTATAAAGATTGTGTAAAACATTTAGGGTTAATCTTTGACACCCTCCTGTTTTGGGAGTCTTTCTCTGTAAATATTCACACTGCATCGTCACATCTTGTGCCTACATTACCTCCGTGAAAAATACTAATCATAGAGTTTAAATTTTGTAAAACTCATACAATGGTGGACCTTTGCCCACCACCTCCCACTGTTCTCAAATTACTTTGCCTTTAACATTTTTACCAATATTTGCACAATACAGCTTTTTTTTCAATATACAGTGGTGCCTCGATTAACGAGTTTAATCCGTTCCGGCACCGAGCTCGTCACGTGGAAAACTTGTCTTGTGAAACAACAACAAAACTGTAGTGGGAGGTGTCTGAGAACCAGCGGGAACACTCGTTAATCGAGCAAAAGCTCGTCAGTCGAGACATTTTCTGCGAGTGGCTTGCTCGTTACTCGAAATGCTCGTAACTGGAGCCGCTCGTCACTCGAGGTTCCACTGTATATCAAAATTTGCTAATGATGTGGGCATTAGTTATTTTCATTAATACAAGTTTTATGTGCTGTCTTCCCATTGAGACAAGTATTTTTACTGCGTAACTTCATGCAATTTATATTTCTTCAGTTACTATGTGGTGCTATGGGTCATGATTGATTGTTATCGTTAACTCTTTAAGTGCTTTAGAAAGAGATTAGCACACAACTACAATATACTCCCCACCAAAATGCCCCACTGAGGAAAGTAAGTCTGACACTATCTAGAGGTGGGAGGACTCAAGACAATCCAACCTGTAGGGAAGGAACCTGAACTCCTAAAGGCAAGTATCTATGATAGAGCAGGGCACACGTAGGCCAGCTACCAAGGAAGGTAACCCTAGCACACGGCTGCAACAAAATAGAATTCAGAGAACACACAATATGGATGAAACTAGACAATTGTGAAACATAAATGAAGAAAAATAGAGCAAAGGTCTATAGCAGTTACTGTTCTAAGAATTGTCAACACCACTTGGGTGAAATAACAAGTACTGTACTGTATCAAGATACACATACCTCCTCCAGGGTGACTTGTGGGTGAAGGTCGGTTAGTATTGGATCATCACAGAGAAGCTGACTAAGAGCCCCTTGAAAAAATCTTTTCAGCTCAGTATGCGAAAGTGTCTTGAATTCTGAATCTTCAGGGTGTTCTGTTGTCATGTTTTCTGCAATTAAAGCCTCTTTAGCATCAACCAAATTGTAACTGTTTTCACTTTCTTTGGGAGCCACTGACTGTACATTCTGTTTGAACTTGGAATTCAAAGTAGACTCTCTTGTAGTATCCTTAGTTGAAGACTTATCATTTAGAACTGTTTTCTCCATTTTCTGAAATACAAAAGAGCAATGTCACAGATAAACTAGATATTATTTGAATGAATCAGGAGGATAGAAGTATTCCTGGGCTGGCATATCTCGATATATTAAAAGGCTGGTGTAATGACTACAGGAGGAGCAATGATTACAGGCTGGTGTAATAAGTGCAAATGGTATAAGGAGTACAGGGATTATAAGGAATACAGACTGGTGTAGCCAGTACAGGCTGGTGTAATGAATACAGGCTAAAAATGCATTGCATTTATTTGTCAATACCCACTGTTTCATTTTTTTTAACAGACCACATTAACAGTGTATCAGTATGTGGGAGTCTTGTCATATTCTTGATCATCTTAACCTTTACTTTTGTTAATTTCTTTAATAAATTTCAGTACAGTACTGGCAAATTTTGGAAGTACTGTACTGTAGTCATTCTTGAAGATATGTTATTGAACATGATGGAAAGGATTACATCAATGATTCCAGCACAAATTTTCTCTATATTTCATATAATGTTCTTCATTTAGGCAGGAAACTGAAAAAATAACCATCAAAAGTATGATTTACAATTTTATTAGACTTGACATGGGTAATTAAAGCATGCATTTCACTGAAATACTCTTCAACATCTTCAGAGGCAATTTGTATTTATTTTCCCTCTAAAGATAGAGAGTACTTCCGTGAAATGTGTTTTTTAGTGTCACGTCTAGTGCAAGAAAATTTTAAAATTAACTTTGGATAGTTAATTGTTCCAACTTCCTGATCAAGTTAAAAAGAAGCAAAAAAATTAAGAAAATTTGGGCTAGAATCATTCATCTCAATTTCTGTACTGAACATCACAATCAAAATTGTGCCTAATTAGAAATATGTTTATAAAGCAATATACATGACTTTCCCTAAATATTTAAGTAAATGAAAGCTGTGTCATCAAATCAAGTGAAGACTGATTTATTCTAGAGTCTATTGACAAATATTATAATACAGTAATTAGATGTAATACTACAACTGTGTTTTAAGCATTACATTCACCAAAATGGATGAATTTCTGTTATGTACAATTCGTGGCAAAAACTGTTACCTGACAATTCATTCACAGACAATTTTGAAGTGTCTCTAAGCAGCACCCTCCTTCCAGGATCCTTTTCAAGGCCTAGTTCTAGTCTATCCACACTCCAGTTTTGATCAAGTGACGAACGTGAAGCCCATAAATATAAAGTTCCAGATAGTTTGGTGCCTTTCACTGGAACCTGAAATTTTGTATTGTGGAATAAATTTGTAACACAGCACTTAAATGCTCACATCACTTCAAAACACACTTAAATTAGTAAAGTAACATATGAAATATAGATAGACAATGAAAACAATAATGTGCCTCTTTCATATAGTTCACATTTTACATTAAATACAACTTTGAATAAAGATGGCTGGTTTTGTTAATGTTACCTGAAACTGTGCCTGGTTACCAGTGCAGAAGTTATTGTCGTTATCACCTAGGTCAACCCCTCCATCCTTTATTGGTTCTCCCATTAAATAAGCAACACCTGTAATGTGATGAAGAAAATCTTTAACATTTAAGTAGTGAACAGATTCTTCACCTCTTTTTAAATGTATGAAAATAATGTATTGGAAGGCTAAGAAAAGGAATTGTATAGAAAGATCTTAAATAGGAATAAGAGGGGTAAAAAATTAGAAGAACCCCTTTCTTATCAATAACAGTAGGACTGAAATTAGAGTGTAAATTTCAAAATTGTATATGAAACTAGCATTGAATGTAATGTAATGCCTCTTTCTGACACGTCCTTGGAGGCTCAGTTGCTAGCAGCCTGGATACAGGCCAAAACCTGCCCCCCACTATAAAGTCGCAAGGAGCTGAAGACATGAGATCACTCACACCAAGATAAAGCTACTTGAAAGATAGTGAAACAAAACAGATAACAGCATGATAACCAAAAGACATAAAACAAATCCCTGAAGCATTTCACGGAGTCATCAGGCAATTCACCAACTAATTAGCAGCTGCACACCACCAGGTGGTCCCCACATTTAGCTACCTTGCCAGTCATTGAGCCAGGAAGATGAAAAACCAAAGTCCCTGAAAAGGAAAGGGAGGTTTCAAGGAATCTCCAAGGTTCCAGTAGAAAGAGGCATTTCATTGCATTCAAAGCTGGTCTTCTGGGAGGGCTCGTATTGGAGGCTCCCTGTTGCTATCTCACCATGAAGAAGAAAAACAGAAGGGGGAGTGAACGATATAGAAGATAATGCAGAGTAGAACCAGTGAAGAGCAGGGGTGCCATAGGCACAATCAGAGAACACTGTATAAACATCAGAGGTCTGCGGTTGTTCAACACCCTCCCAGCGAGCATAAGAAATATTGCCAGATCAACCGTGGACATTTTCAAGACGAAACTAGATTCTTTCCTCCAAGGCGTGCCAGACCAACCGGGCTGTGGTGGATATGTGGGCCTGTGGGCCGCTCTAAGCAACAGCCTAGTGGACCAAACTCAAGTCAAGCCTGGCCTTGGGCTGGGCTTGTGGAGTAGAACAACTCCCAGAACCCCATCAACTAGGTATCAACCAGGGAAACCAAAATAATTTACAAAGTACCGAGCTGTTAGCACACTGTTGAACTGTTAAAACTCTTGAGCCTGTATGTCATCCCAGGACATGTTAGAGAAGACTGCAGACAGAGCTGAAAAATTGTGACTATCATAGTGCCTAAGAGCAGACTACAGGCTGGCAAAATTAGATGATACTGTAGATTATCAACATGAAACAAAGCATCAACAAATGAAGAAGGTTGTGTCCTACTATAATCTTTTTCCTCTTCCTCCTCAATTGTGCTAGCAACATTTTGGAGTCTCTCGCCTGTAAAATGACCATAGCCTGGGTCATCTGCATCTAACCATTCCTCCACATCATGAAGAGTCACATCCCCCTCACAAGCCTCTTGTTCTTCATAAATTTCACGATGAAAGGATACAAAATCCATGTCTTCCTCCTCAGCCACTTCAGCATCATCAAGCGGCAGGATTTTTCTCCCAAAATTTCTTACCGTAGACTTTTTAACTTCATTCCATACTTTAACCCAGTTGAAGATTCCTTCCTTCCTTCCTTGAGTATTTTTAATGCTTTTTATGCTTGCTAATGTATTTGTTGGGTTATAATAATACTATAAACTTGTGAATATCAAAATATTCACAAATGAATTCTCTAGAGATCAGATGAAAAAATAGGTGTACAGTATGTATAATAGATGATGCGCCTCTCTGCACATTCCTGACTGTAAACATAGCGGGTACAGCAGGACCAGCTCAGCAATGCTTAAAATGTTTACAATAATTTTACATTTTCTAAGTTATTTGTTGAGTTATATCTATAAATTTCTTATCAAAATGTTTGCAAATGAATTCTATAGAGAACAGATGCAAAAAGTGTATTTATAGCAGATTATGCATGACAGTGACAAATATACAATGTTCTTGAATAGCAATCGGATGATGCGTTTTAGTGTCATCGGAACATAGAAGTGTTACTAGTTTCTTTTTTAACAGAATCGTAGTTGGATGGAATAATTTAAATGCCAGGTTAGTTTATGCTAAAATTATCAGAAGCCTCAAAACATCACACGACAAAAGATTACAGCACTGTATAGGGAAGATGGAACACCACAAGCATAGCTCTCATCCTGTAATTACACTTTGATAATTACACACACATATACAATATAGTTCCGGTAGTACAATCAGGTGGTTCCTGGCAGTACTGGTACAATCGGGTTCATTCTCAGCTCACAATTGGGAATTCTGGGTTCAAACCCCGGGTAGGACAGAAATGGTTGGGCACGTTTTCTATCATCTAATGCACCTGTTCTTCAAGCAGTAAACAGGCACCCAGGAGTTAGCCAGTTTGTGGGGTTGCATCCTGTGAAGGGTCAGTAATTCAACCTTGCAGGGACCTTGATATAAGCCTAACATGCAAACATACAATGGCTGCCGGTCCCGACACAATGAATGAAAATATTTTAATATATTTATTAAGTCACATATGGTAATTTATAACCTGTATAAACATATTTTATTTTTTATTCTTTTAGACGAAATGCTGCATTGATCGTAAGCCACACAAGTTAGGTGAGAAGGTGGTGGAGGCCAAAACCGTCAGTAATTTCAAAGTGTTTTATGACAAAGAATGCTTGGAGGACAGAACATCAAGAGTTTAGCTCTCATCCTGTAACTACACTTAGGTAATTACACAGCCTCTTAACTTATTCTTACCTCTGTGTGATCGGAGAAGTCGTAAACTTTCTCTATAATATTCAGACTGTTTAATGCCATCTTGGATGCGTGACTTGAAGTAAAATGCACTGCCAATAACTATAAACCCTCCAATGGATGCAGTACGAGCAAGGGTTGGTAAACTTGGCAAGGCAAACATCACACAATGCCCTTGAATAAAGAGGTATTAAGAGTAAAATTTCTGATCATTAAAGATGTTTGTTTTGTATTTTAATGCTACACTTGTACAGTATATACTCACTGTAAGGAATCATAGTACAACAACCTATGCTACTGTTGTACTATATTCAACTCCATTGCTACTATGGCACACAAATTACGAAACTTAAAACATACTCTGTAATTAACAAAATGTAAGGTTAATTACAGATCTATGGGTCGACAAGTCAAGCGAGAGTGCCCAATTTATGTGGCGCCTTTCTGACGATTCCAAAGATATGCCAACCCAATTATTATTCATAGCTGGTTGGGACTCAAAATGAACCTCGAGCCATCTTGAAAGTGTGTGTAGCATGTCAGATTTTGCAGCTGTATCTGACATCTAATTTATGGACACATTAACCCGTGTTGGAAGTGAATATAAAAAAAAAAAAAAATCGACCCCACCTTTATGCCATAGACAATTAGCCTTTCTACAATGTATTACATGATTTCAACCTTGACAGGATGAGATGGGTGATACAATTTGAGGGCCTGGTTGGTGCTTTCCACCCTGATAATTCCCTCACCCACAGGGTTATAAATCCATGGAACTGCCTACCCGCCGAAGGCGTAAATACCAAAACTGTTAAATTTGAAAATCCAACTGGAAAAGATCATCAAGCCAAATGGGGGGAGGGACTTTTGACAAGCCGGCGACTGCCTGTCCTCGACTAAGCCATTATTGTTAGTGGCCCTCAGGTAAATTCAGGTAAATCTGAGTTAACTAAAGTTACGAAAGGGCTATTTTAAAATCCGATGACGAACCGAGTATACTATTTTTTCCTTTAGTTCAATTCGTTACCTTGTTTATGTTACGTGCTTTTTGCACGAGGTTGTCTCCCCCTCCCAAGTGAGTGCTTCGCGATATGTGCAGTTTGCATGAAGGTTTGTCCTCCCGATGCCTGTATCCCAAGTGACTGCTGTTCTGTTCTCAAAACTGTTCTTGTTGCTGTGTTGATTTAGGGGCGACGACTGTTCTTGTTGTGATGATTTAGGGGCGACGACGATCGTGGGACAAAAGTGTTCTGGCAACTGGTGGTGCTCCTTCCGTTGGCGTCACCTGTTCTACGACGGTAGCGCCCCCCCTCCCACTAGCCCACTTTCCCTTGATGTTTTCCTAAAGTTACCTGAATTTACCAGAGGGTCACCAGCTCTCTAGTGGCCTCGACGGGAGCAGAAAGCTGACGGCTTGTCAAAGGCCCCTCAGACTGCAAGACTCCACAAAGTCTTGCATTTTTGTATATTAAAAAGTATTTGCCAGTCTTCTGTGGTGTGGAGTTCATGTACATCTCTTTGTAAGGCTTCAATATCATTTTCATTTCCCACTTTACCATAGATATTATTGTCATCTGCAAAGTTGATGATGTGGGGACCTTTAACAAGTCACCGGCTTCCTGTTCTCATCGAGACAATAATGTTAGTGGCCCTCAGGTAAATTCAGCTAATTCATGTTCTCTCCTGATTCCATATATGATTAACCATCCTGTGAGATGGTGATATTAGATGAAATTATAGCTAGTTTTTTATCTACACTTTGTAATTTTTTATATAGAATAGGGCAGCAGCACATTGCTGTGTATACCGAAGCTTGTTAATAAAAAAATATAATAATATATAAATAATAAATAAATAAGAAATGTATTGCCAATGGATACGGTAACCGGCTATTCAGACAAAGGACTTCCGATAGATGTAGTTTATAAGGACTTTGCTGAAGCTTTTGACAGGGTACCACATGAAAGACTGGCAAGGAAACTAAAGGCACATGGAATATATGGCAGAATATTGGAATGGATAAAAAAAAGGGGTCTGATTTACCAGAGGGGCCACCAACCCTAGCGACCTCGATGAGGACAGGAAGCCGGTGGCTTGTTAAAGGTACCCTCATTTGCCTTGATCGTTTTTAGGTATACTTTAAAACTCAACACAGTTTTGGCAGTTACGGCTTCGGCGGGTAAGCGGTTCCATGGGTTTATAACCCTGTGGGTGAAAAAAGCATCTCCTGTTCTCAGTCCTACATTGTGGTTTGTTGAGCTTGAAACCGTTGCTCCTTATTTGTGTTACATTTGACCTAATGAAGAAAATATCGGGATCAACATCCTCTAACTTGTTCAGTATTTTAAGATTCAATGAAATCCGCCATGTCGTGCTTGGTTTGCAGTGTTGCTAGCCCTACTGCTGCACCCACCTGTTGTGCAACTTTTACTGAGTGATAGATTTTACTCCAAGGTCCTTTTCTTCATAAATCTGCTGCAATGTAATGTTATTACATTTCTGAAGGATCGAGCTAAATGGAAATGAATCTGACTGGAGAAATGTGGTAAGTGGGATACCACAGGGGTCCATTTTGGGGCCAACCCTTGTTGTAATATACATCAATGACATAGATGCGAATATTACAAACAACATCATCAAATTTGCAGATGACTAAGATTTATAGTAAAGCGTGAAGGTAAAAGTATATTGAGACCTTACAAAGATATCTACATGAATTCCAAAAATAGTCAGAAGACTGGCAAAAGCTTTTTAATATCAATCATGCAAGACCTTGCATATGGGTCATAACTATCCACGTCACAACTACCAAATTAACAACACTACCTTTGGAGCCGGTCGGCCGAGCGGACAGCACGCGGGACTTGTGATCCTGTGGTCCTGGGTTCGATCCCAGGCGCCGGCGAGAAACAATGGGCAGAGTTTCTTTCACCCTATGCCCCTGTTACCTAGCAGTAAAATAGGTACCTGGGTGTTAGTCAGCTGTCACGGGCTGCTTCCTGGGGGTGGAGGCCTGGTCGAGGACCGGGCCGCGGGGACACTAAAAAGCCCCGAAATCATCTCAAGATAACCTCAAGATAACCTTACAACAGATTATGAAGAAAAGGACCCAGGGGTCAAAATCAATCCATCACTGAAAGTTGCGCAACAAGTGGGAGCGGCAGTGAAAAAAAAAGCTAACCAAATCCTAGGAATAATCATGCATATCTTTATATTTAAGGAAAAGAAGGTAGTCATTTAGTTGTATAAATCTCTGGTGCGCTTCCACCTGGATTATTGCATCCAGGCATGGAGACCTCATCTTCAAAAAGTCATAGCTGCTCCGGAGAAAGTGCAACACCAGGCAACAAGAATCACTTCCAGAGCTAAGTCAACTCTCGTATCAGGAACGGTTGAAGGCCACATGGGTAACAACACTGCAAACCAGGCACGACAGGATGGATCTCATTGAAACTTTTAAAATACTGAACAATTTAGAGGATTTTGATCTGGACAATTTCTCAAAAGGTCAGATTTAACTTGAACAAGAAGCAACGGTTTTAAGCTCAACAAGCCACAATGCAGGACTGAGAACAGGAGATGCTTTTTCACCCATGGAACCGCTTACCCGCCGAAGCTGTAAATGCCAAAACTCTGTTACATTTTAAAATCTAACTGGAAAAGATTATCCGGGCAAATGGGGGGAAGGGGACCTTTGACAAGCCGTCGGCTTCCTGTTCTCGTCGAAGCCACTAGCGTTAGTGGCCCTCAGGTAAATTCCGGCAAATATTGTAGTCTACCAATTAATACAAAATTAATTTGAACATCTTTAAATTAAACCTTAGTATCATAACTGTTTATTGTGATATGTGACGATTGTATAAGGTAAACAATTAAGCAGGTGAAGCAGAGATTGGAGGAGTGAATGGACATGGGCATGCATGGCTACGTCCTGCTAGGAGCTGCTTCTTGGACCCGTCGCCCTGGTTTCCCATTCTTCATCATGGCTGCCTGGGTACACAGGTATTGATTTTCATTATATTTCTATTTTCTGTCACGTGTTACAGGCTCTCATATGAATTATATTAATGTTTTAAACGCTACTGACAAGAGCCCTAACTTTGACTTGACAATTCTGTCCTTAAATATAAGTATGAGAGATAAAGTAAGAAGTAGCATATATATGTTCAAAGGTGGCGGTAAATTACGTCAGTGGCGGTACGCGTTGTGACTGGCGGACGGAGATGCCATCTCTCGGCCACTGTGTGCACTAGAGGGATCATCGCTCACCAGCGAAGATGGTAGGCGTCTGTGTCATACTTGCAATACATTAGTGTTTTCTCGTCAAACTAAAAGGGGAAACCTACAAATTTAACACCACCAAGTAAGTATGGGCCTGGGAGTCTGTTCTGTTATAAATTAAAAGTCTTCGAGCCAACGGAAGTCGTAAAATATGAGTGAAACGTGAGTGATGTGCGACATCCCCTTTCGGATGGGACGAGCGACAAAGCCAAAGGGCCACCTTCCTGAGCTTCCTCATGGAATTTCTTGCGGCATAATCTTCGAGTGTACTCAAGAACCACATCGAAAGATACACGTTGATCAATAGTACGGTTCCATGTTGTTTTTGTAGCGATATATGTTTGAATATTTGGGTATATGAGGTGTAGATGGGAGTGGAGGCGGTGAGGCGCCAACTCGTCCCTCTGGCTGGGCCACTCTCTCCCACGGCCATCGTGTCGCGGCCTCTTGCCTACTCCTTCCTCTCACATCTGCTTCCTTACGTCTTCACAGTCTGTCTTGTCTTCTTGTAACGTTTTCTGGGAATATATTTTTCTAATGAAAATTATATTAATTTTAAAAAAGGAGAGAGAATATAAGTGATTAAGGGGTAACTTAAGAATTTTGATGTCGCAAATTTATTGTGCAAACTGCCTTTTATTCAAAACGAACCATTTAAGTTCAGATACAATAAAGTGCCTACAAATTCTCCAGTATACGAGTATATTGTCAAGGGAGATGGGATAACGTGTTAAAATTACCAAAGATAATTAAACTACCCTGGGTATTGCAGTTCACTGAAATTTATTTAAATGAATACTCTTTTTCTATGATAGAATGATTTGAATAAGAATAGAATAACACATTTAATATTATATAATGTATGTGAAAATTAGTTTGTTGACAGTGGAAAAGTGGATCCCACAAGCACAAGATTGTCTTGTGTAGTAGGGGCAATGTGTCCAAAGTCTTGAACATCAAAATCAAAATGATACTGCTAGAATTGCTGTTATACATTAGATGTCCAACCAAATGTCAGTATACACAGATGTCACTTGGACCCAGATACTGCTAGTCTTTACAGGTGCAAGTAATCAGGTGCAGTCTTGATCCCAGACACTACCAGGCAATGCCCCGGATAAGTAACGTACTGTATTGGAAAGAATACGGCTCTTCATCCTCCTCCCACCAAATATAAGAAATATTGCCAGAACACTGTTGGATGTGTTAGAGACAATTGGACAAGTTCTTGCAGGAAGTGCCAGACCAATCATGGTATAATGGGTACATAGACCTGCTAGCAACTCTAAGCAACTGCATTGCTGATCATCACAACAGAAACCGGGCACCAGGTTGGGCATGGGGAGTAAAAGAACTCTTGGCACCAACTACAGATAATATACAGGAGTCACTGTTGAACACAGGTGCAGTCTTAGTGCTGGGAATTGCCTGACTGTTTAAGTGGAAAAATTCAGCTGTAGTCCTAGACAGTGACAGTCAGTAAGTGCCAGTGGAAGTAATCTGATGTTATTTTTCAGATTTTTTTAAATTATAGAATTTTATTTTAAAGAGTGCAGTATTATTATTCATGTTTTAAGAGCTGAATATTGTTTACAGGGGGTTCCTTACCATACTTATTTTCAATACACTGATGGTAGGAAATGTTTTTCCATAAGGATAATACCATGTCTTTCAACTATAGCTTTCATAATTAAAACCTACAGTAATTGGGCATTACATGCTTTCTTTTATTAATTACAGATTACTATCAGTTTATTTGACAACTCATGATATCAATAATAGGATATGAAAGATGCAATTTGCATTTGTCCTGATTGCTGGCATAACACTATTATGAGGGGATGTAATAGAGCACTTTTTATAAATAATGTATTTTGTGGTTTAATGCCTACAGTATTTACAGTACTAGTTATATTATTCTGAGTAAGAATTAGGAGTTATGGAAAAATGTCGCTAATGTACATTTTAAACTGATTTAGCATTCAGATTTCTATCAAATATATACAGGCGTTCAGTATTTTTAGTACAATTTCTGGAAGGATCCCCTTGGTGAAATCAACAAAGTTATTCCTATGCGGCACCTCAACTAAAAATATGCAACTTCTCCAAGCCACTACAGCTAAACCACAAGACTTTATTTAGATTTGTGTGCTTCCTGAAGGCTAATTAACTACAGTATGTCATAAGAAAAAATAATTTTTTCGGAACAATTTTTTTCTTGAGCATCCTGGGGATGTTTGCTATTTAACAGTTAGCGGTTTAGAGGTTTAAGGGTTAACTAATTACTAATACTGCATGAAAAATAGATCGTCTCTTTGAACAATTTATGATGTATTACACAGTTACCTAATGTTTAAGTAATGAACCTTTTTGGTGCAAAAAGTGACTGGTTGCCCAAAAGAGTCGTGTGTGTGATTACTGTAGGGATTTTTGCCAGGTGCCAAAAAATGTTTCAGGTCCACTGGGCTTTAATACAAGCACCTGTACCCAGTATGTGCTGCCATAGATGGAATCAAATGTCACTCCAAGATTTAGCACTAAAGCTGCCCAGAATGCCTCCCTCATACCCCCACACTCACACCTCATCTATTAATACTGTAGTGCAGTGATTGGCACAGTCAGCACACAACAGATTTAATGCGAGTCTAATTCCTGACAGGCCAAGATGTTTGGGCATGTTTCTTTACATTTGGTGCCTTGTTCACCTGGTACTAAATTGGTACTGTGTCCAGAAGCTGTCTGCTGTGTTGCATATTGGGGAAGGTCCTCGTTGACCTAATGGGGGACATTGATAAGCTTAACAGTCTTTGTTACAGGCAGTATGAGACCATAAATAAGCTATATTACTTGTTATTGTTTTGATATTGTGACACGTTATGTAGAAGTATTTTTATATATAAACGTATTGGAGTCAGTTTACATGCTTGGTGATTAGCTTTATGCTTGGCAGTTCACGTGTAACTTTATTTTTTTTGTTTGAGACTTGCCACCATTACAAGAATTAATTTTTGTTGGTTTTTGTTTCTTCAGTCCCGAGGGTCTGTTTGTACAGTATGTCTCTAGCCAGTTCCATCCTTTCTGGCAAAAAATGAGTTGGTTAGTTTGCAGAGGGGTCCATTGGGGGGTTAATGTTTGGTTGGCTTGACTGGCTGTGCAATCATCTATGTGTCCAGTGGTGGGGCTCTGTCGCTACTTTTGTGCCATCACTTCTGTCTCGGTGGACATCTTTTGGGTTAATACTACAGTATTTCCTTGGTACCCTGTTCCAAGGCTCGTTCGCAATGTCATTCAGTCTAGCCAGCCTGCGGTCAACCCTCATGCCCATGACATCCAGAAATATGCTACTCTTTCAGCTGTTTGTGCTAAAATATCCTTGGATGATATTAGGGTGGGGGGTGGGGGGAGGTTGAACAGGGTTATGCCAGCCCTATATTTGGTCAATGTTCCTGGGTCATAGCGCCGCTGTATGCATTGGGTTGGTTTTCTCAGCCGAATATATCTCTGTCACTATGATACCTGCGGTGCTTTTTCCTCCCTGGTAAGTGCCTGTTTTTTCCTTCTCTATGGATAGTTAGCTTCAGGAGCTACAAGGGGGCTCCCTCCCAGAAAACCAGCATTAAGTGTAATCAAATGCAAATTTCTGGGTGAGCCCCAGTGGCTCCCTGACATCCTCCCTTTCCCTGGGTATCAGGTTTGTTACATCATTTGTAAAACTGCAACCCGTTCTCGCAAATTTAATAAGTCAATATTGACTTATTAAATATGTGCATAGGTGACATACTTAACATAATAGTTTCCCTTGAAAAGCTTCATAGAAAACACCGACCTTACCTAACCTACTTAGTATGTTAAGATAAGCATCTTATTGCTTCGTAATTACAATTATTACCTAACCTATACCTATAATAGGTTAAGTAACAATTATAATTACGAAGCTATAAGATGCTTATTTTAACATACAGTACTAAGTAGGTTAGGTAAGGTCGGTGTTTTCTATGAAGCTTTTCAAGGGAAACTATTATGTTCAGTATGTCACCTATGCATGCAACTAATAAGTCAATATTGACTTATTAAATTTGCGAGAACGGGTTGAAAACTGACGGTGAAGCGGCCTGTGAGCCGTGGTCTGCACCCTCCTTCCCCTAAATGAGGGCGAGGGTGAGGCGAATGAGCAGCACTAGTTTTATAACATTTTTTATTATTTGTTTACATAGTTTGGAAAGTTTTATGGCCGTTTTTAAGTCTGCAGGTCTGGGAGGCAGCCAGCTGTGGTTTGTTTTGTCTCACTAATTTCCTGGGTGCCTTCCTTGGTGGTGGCATAAATGAATAAATTAATGTAGAAATGCCATGGTTCCCTGCACCATGGCAGGGAACCTGTGGGAACCAGGTTCTGGCACTGGGTCTCCAGTAGGCCAGAGATCTCTGTGACTAATATCAACTCGTAATTAGCACCTACATCGAAGAAGGCAGTTTCAGGGAGTCACTGGGACTCAAATGCCAGAAATTGGCATTTCATTACACTCAACACTGGTTTTTTTTGTTACTTATCTAATAAACGATAAAGAATGCTAATTTCATACATATTGTTAATCATTATAGGACTCCAATATGCTTAATTATATATACAGTATATATCAACTATCTGTCTTACTCATAACTTGTTACAATGTACAAAAAAATACAACATTCCTTAATTATGTTTATGAAATTAGATGTCTTACGTTTGAGGGAGTTCTGGGTGCTTCCACTTTGGGTGACATTGATTCTCTTGCCAACATATGGCAGCATTTACTGGGTCTGAATGCCAGAAGACCTGGTTGAACATTACATGATTTGGAAATGTTTTTCTTTGGTACCTTGAATGAAGTCAATTGTAGTAGCAAATGCCGATTATTTGTGAAAAAACTACATTCGATGCGTCTATAGGAACGAAAGGGTTAATAGCCCAGCAGGGTTGGTTTAAAGAGATCCTCGCTGCATCAGGGATATGAAGAGAGCATTGACCTAACGAATATTTTGCTACGTACAAGTCTGCAAGCGTTTATATCCTTGACTGACACTTGACAACCCTACAAACACATT